GGATCGTTTCACACCCTCTCGGCGCGCGCGATGCGCTTCCCGTCACGATACTACATCCGCTTTCGTGATAAATCGCGGACTGCTCACGACTGGAATTTACATGAAAGCGAAAAGCAAGCTTTCGCGTGAGCGCACGGTACGCGAGAAATGCAAAGCTCGCCTCAGTGAACAGGCAAAACACAACAGGGGAATACAAGGATACAGCGCGTGTATGGATAATTAAATAACTCGGCCGCAAATACATAAATGTATAAATATATAAATAATATATACCTTCAAGTTATCCCGTAAAGCGTGTTTATTTCTATAACAATAAGTGAAGAAGCAAGAGATTAGAATCGAAAATAAATCGACTGAAAGCTTACAGTGTTCTCTGGTGAATTGATTCCTCGCGTCACATGTATCTTCACGACTCCCGAGTCGTTGAATATTTTCGCGCAACACCGGGTTACCACGATGAACTCGATGAACTACGTACTATCCTATCCCCCATGACGTAGACCCAGTAGCATCAGTGTGGATTCATAAATAATGAGTTCGCGGGAATGCGAGAATAGGAGGAAAGAAGCGGAGGAGAATGATAAGAAAGGAGAAGCGAGGAAAAAAATAACCGGCGTGGAAAGACGGATTCATAAACAATGAAGGCAGTTCTCTCGCTGGCAGCACCTGGGATCGTCAGAAAGATTTTCGCAAAGCTCCATTTCTTTTTCGACTATTTTATCCACCGTGTGGACCGTGAAATTGACCGCAGAATTTGCTTCTTTCTTCCGGGAGTAGGAGCCGGTAAATTTACACCTCGATATAATGGCACGAAAAATTTCTCAAACAAATTCCTTAAGATTCATCGAGAGTCATGTTGATTTTAGATATAAAAAAGTATATCGCATTGTGTATGTGTGTATGTGTGTATTGCTACGATGTTAGATAGCGTGGGACTCGCCACGACGTTCCGTGAGAAGCGTGATGGGCGCAGAAACCCGAGGATCCATTGCCTTTCAGCGATCGAGGCGAATGATAACTTGGGATCGGCCGATCGATCGATCGATCGATCCAACGGACCCCGTACGTCGGAACGCACACCGAGAACGCGATCTCGATAAATCCTCCGAGTAATTAGCAGCTAGATCGTCGTCGGCGTACCATGCAGAAGACGAGTGAAGACAGGCGAAGACGAAACGAGCGAAGTAAAGAAAAAAGGGAGAAAAAATCACGATTACGCTGCTGCCGCTGATACGCTCCCCCGCCGTGGCGGAAGACTTCGTCCTGGTGCAACGACCTGCGGCGGCGTAGGAGCCCTTTTCCCTCCTCGCGCTATCACAGCACGGGAATAATAATCACGGAGAGGCGAGAGAGAAGACCCGACCTTTCGAGTTCTCATCTCCATGCATCCGTCCGGGATATTATCCGCGGTGGATGCCGTAAATGTACTATTCCGGCGCAGCGGAGAGACTTGTCCTACAATGGCGAATATTAAAATGATGTATCGTCGTTATAACGAGTTCTATAAATCAATGAGTCCTGAGATAGCGCTTGCCACACGAGAGGACAAGGTTTCTTCTCTCTCTCTCTCTCTCTCTCTCTCTCTCTCTCTCTCTCTCTCTC